AAATCATAGGGATGTCTGGAAAATTATAAAATCATGCAATGTATTGTAGGAACGAATTTAAAATGTTGGCATAATGTTATTACATAGTTAAGGACAATATGCTATGCTTTGGTAATGCTTCAGAATCAGTTGACTAAAATGCATCTTCCAAAAGTTATCAACTATATTACTAAATTCGTCTATTCTAATTTTATTTTATTTTATTTTATTTTATTTTATTTTATTTTATTTAATTTAATTTAATTTAATTTAATTTAATTTAATTTAATTTAATTTAATTTAATTTAATTTAATTTTATTCTATTCTATTCTATTCTATTCTATTTTTTTTAACAAACGCAGGCTATTTGTCTAACATTCTTGTATTGATCAACTGACTCTACTCTGAATCAAAACTGCCATACAAACATGACAGCCTGTTTAGGTAATACAAGTTTCGAGCGTTACCCTCACACAATAAAGTTTATTTGCGCCCACCTCTAATCTTTATCGTTTTTTTGTTTGTAAGGTATTGAAGGCAATGTAAACAATCACATAAATCAGGATTACTACAGGGTCAAAGGTTAAATGACAGAAAGGGCCGCAGCATAATCAACAACCAGCAATCTCATTTCGAAAAAACAATAAACTAATAAACAATAAACTGCATAGCGTACGCATGCCAATATTATTACAATTGAAAATCCCATTTTACAGCTCTTAGAGGAGGGGGGCAAAGGGGATAGCTGGTACATGTTACAAGAAATAAAAAAGGCATTTTACGTTTTTACATGAAATAATATGAAAATTACATTTACAGTAAAATATATGTTTTTACACTTTAAAGATTAAGCAAATTCCTAATTCCATTTTTATATATTTGATAATTTGTGTTTAAGAATCAAATTTGGAAATTGCTTACGAATTGCAACATTTAATGTGGAAAGTGCTTTATACGCTTACAAAAAATAATATCTTTGTACAAATTACGGACGAATAAAATAGCTGTTTAGATTTTCACCTTGACCATGTCTACGAATTTACGTTTTTTATTTATTTAAATTACATTATTATGAAAATAATAAAAAAATGATTACAGCTTACGAAAATACCTCTTCGCCGACCCTCCTAAGAATACGAGTATTCGCCTCTGTTAGATGATGTTCTCGCCGCGGAGGGCGCACCATCAGATCAGCAGTACATAAGATGCTCAGTAGACTGGCAAAGTCGGAACATCTTTTTTGTTTTATATAATAAATATAATTAATTGTCACGCTAGTTTTCGCGATCACGCTAAAAAGGCCAAATACACAATTAATTATATTTATTATTGTAAAACAAAAAAAGAAGTTCCGACTTTGCCAGTCTAGATGCTCAGCAGAGACTCGAATAAGTCGTGATACTGACCTCCCCAGATCTTGAAACGCAATCTTATAGAAGAAGTACTTAGTAGTTACATTAACGATACAAATAAGGAAAAAAAAATCAACAGATTTGACAATGCGAATCATTTCTCTTCATTGTTTGTGCTTCAGACAGTTTAAACAACAGTTATAAATATGTAATCATTTAAATCTTTCAAAACACGCTTTTTGTACGCAATTGGCCAACTTATCAACTTTAACACATTGAAAGACGCTCACTATTGCAATGTACTTTATTTTAGGTGGAATTAATTTTTGATGAAAAGACTTTTTGGGCATGGACTTTATTTTCACTAGACTGATTTTTAATAAGTTGAATGTATAACAAATAGGAAAACAAAGACACTTGCTGGATTTTATTTTCACTGAATCTTCTCTTCAGCGAATTTAGCAAAAACAAAGTATTTTACAGTATATGGTTCATTTGGTCAAAGGATACAATGAGTGGTGTATGAAATGAACAACAGTCACAGTCTAATTTTGTACACGGCCCGGGAGTTGAAATCCCCAAACGCAGCGCGTTTACAGAGTAATCGTTTGATTCCACGAAATTCGGATTTACAGACTTGGGCTTGAATCCCCGGGGGCACTATGTGGAAATCAGTTAATTGTGGACGTGCCATTGAAATTGGTTATGTTTTTCAAAATTGTAGGTTTAAATATTTCTATTTTTTGTCCAAATAGTTATAAATCCAGTATCTTAGATATTGACGCTGGATGTATACTGTAATGTCATATTAAACTATGGTACCAGTAGTAACACGTGTACAGTTAACCCCGATGAAATGGCTGATATAATACAGAGTCGTACCATAACACAGTCTCAGATCCCGATTTTCAATACAAAGTGGCAGACGGATACAGGACATGGATACATATGTACGAACTGTACTTCAACAATCCAGTTTCTGATGGTCTGGGGAGGTCAAACAGAGCTATGACTGTGATTTCACATTTGACAAGTAACAAAGTGTTATCTTGTCTTTATTTGGTATAAACATACATGTAGGTTTAAAAATATGGTACTTTGGTATAATTATGGGTATGGATTTGGTCAAAACATTGGTATGAAAATGAACACACTTTTGAAGGCTCGTGATCAGTGGTATCCCTCAACCAAGTTTTAAGTCTGGTGCCCGAGGCTTGAATACATCTTGTAAACTAATATAGGGAGAAGAAACTAGGTATATTTTAAAATGATTTTTGTTTCACGTCTTTATCATCAAAAAGCAAGATAAACAGGCCAATAACATGCATTAAAGAAAATAAAGATTGCCGGAAAGAGATAACGACAGGTGTAGTCCATCTTTACAGCTATCTTCTCAAATGTTCCACTATAACTTGTCTCCTTCTGCTGCGATGTTCTCCATGTCATGCATACTTCCCTGTCTGATGGGCATCGTAAACTCGCTGATTGCCGTGTGTCGCCAACAACAACACGCTGTAATATAAATTCGTATATTGCATTAGAATATTGTCGCAAAAAAAGAATGTCAACAACAACACAACAAATGGGATTAAACGAAGATACAGTTTGTTTCAGTCGTTAAAAAGCCGACTGGAACACATACACTGTTTCCAAGTATTCACGCCGTATCTTAACAAGACCGAAAAGGTCTAAAGGTTTACATTATTCTCTATCGACTACACGGCCAAACATAGCATATATAAATATTTTAAATAAATCATTGCGTTCATGCAGCAACGTCAAGTGTACGCCACATAAGAGTTTCCCGCAAGAGGGCGCAACTCATTGAAAAGAGTATTGCACACTGGCAGTCCCAGCGCAGACTCGGTCAGGTCAGGTGCGATAAAAAACTTTGTTTAAAATAAAA